AAAAAAAAAAAAATCTGATTTGATGCGCTTTCGCCTGCAGTGTGAACGTAGCCTATGTCTCCACAATGGTGATGTGCGCAGCTGCTCCTCCGGTGCTCTGGGGGGCCTCTGGATGTCTGGGGCCTGCTTCATGGCTCGCAACACCTGCTGTTACAAACAAACAAGCTTCGTCTGTAATAGCCGAGCCGCGGGGGTCTAGCCAGGACCTTTAGTGGATACTGGGTGGGAATCGAACTTGCACCTCCCACTCCAAAGTGGGATGTGTAGTCTTACCACTACACTATCCAGCTGCACTTACATGGAGAAACCTTATGAATACAAGTGCGCTTGCACACACAGGTGTTCACACCTGAGTACCTGTTTGTCCACACCTGTGTTCACAGACACACACTATCTTCCTCGGCTGCTGCCTCCATGCGTTGTCGTTGCGTGCCGCTCCGCTCAGTTTTTATTATTTACTGTTAGTTCTGTTGCTGTGGTCTCTCTACTGTGTCGTTCTCTTTTTGCTTGTTTTCTTTTTTTGCCAGCAGCTGATTTTTAGTGTCTTTTCTCTCTGTCGCTCTTCCCCTCTGTTTTTCTTCCCCTCTGTTTTTCTTCCCCTCTGTTTTTCTTCCCCTCTGTTTTTCTTCCCCTCTGTTTTTCTTCCCCTCTGTTTTTCTTTCCCTTTTTTGGAAGGTCGCTTGTCTTTGTCTTTCCCTTTCCTACCCACGGGTCCTGTCTGTTCCAATTGTAATAACTTAAAATAATAAATAATTAATAAAGATCAATCAAGTGGATGATTAATGATTCACTTGGAAACATAAATCAGGTGGGCATCACCAAATTTCCCCTTGTGGGACAATTAAAGGATTATTCTATTCGATTTCTCTTGGCCTTCAAACTATAATTCATGTTGCTAGAGTGCAAACAAAAACAATTCTCTAAACTCCTTTCACGTCCAAAGTCCTGGAGAAAATTGTCTGTGTTCAGCGCCAGGCTCAAAGCGCTACACAGCTCTGAAACTATGCCTTTAAAAGTTTTTAATGATCTTTTATTAATGCCATTTAAGTGCTTTCAGACCTGAGCATTGCATTTGATAAAGTGGGTCATGGTGTTGTAGTGTCCAGTGTGTGTATTAAGGGACCTGATTGGTTTAGATTCTATTTAAGCAGCAGCGTGTTTCCTGTCAGGTTCATCCATCCCCTTACATGTGGAGTCCCTCAAGGATCCACCCTTGGCCCATTTTCTCCTTTCACAGGCTCCCATTAGGCTCTATTTTCAGAAAATATGGATTCTCTCACAAATCTACTTTCCTCTTAAAAAGAATTCTACAGACTTTAAAAGTTTTGCGTGACTGTCTTGATGATATTAAATCATAGCTGGCTTTAAATGTTTTGAATGTGAACAATCAAAAAACAGATTGTCCTATGTGGACCTTCTGACCCTCGTTCTTCTCTTAAGGGTGACCTTGACCCTCGTTGACCCTCTGGAAAAAGCAGAACTGCCTTTGCAAAAATCTGGCAATGATATTTGATGA